TGTAAATTTAAGTACTAATGTTATTGACGATTAACGTATTGAAAAATAACCTATAAAGCTAAATTTAGTTGTGTTTACTTGGATGATATTAACAATCAGCTACTTCACATTCAGGCATCAGGACCCTGCAATTACTATATCAAATTATAGAAGAGCTATTAAGAATACAAATTTTCGGAGCTTTTTGTGATTCTGTTTACGGAGTTTAATATTAGATCTGAGTGGGGTAACCCCTCATCATAACGTGTTTTTGTTTTGTTTTGTTTTTTGTATTGTTCTTTAGAATTATATTTGTTTTTGTTTTTGTTTTTTGCTTGTTTGAAGGACACAGTGAAGAATATAACCACGGAAAAACCCCGATTTTGGCCGGATTCAATCTATTTATGGCATATTATTCTTGCTTATTTTCAAACCGTCCCCGTGCACATTACTCAGCGGTTGCATTTTAAAATCTTTATTGAAAATGTATTCATTTAACTTTTATTATGTTTTTTTTACATAGGCCTATATTTTTTTTATTAGGACCTATTTTTTTTTTCTCACGGGCCGCCTATTAAAAGCCAGGGGCCTACATTCAGCATAGTGATAGTAACCCTGTAATAGTAACCCATACTCTAAAAGTAATAATAATAATTAAAAAAAAAAAAAAAACAATCAAAGAATAGTGACCCAGGGTTAGAAGTTTTACGGTAATTGTTTTTAGAATTATATTTGTTATTATCGTCGTCTTCATTATCATCGTCATCATCATCACCACCATCATTGTATCAATATCAGAAAAATCATTGTATTATCATCATCATTTTTGTTATTGTTAGGCTTATTATTGTTATTAATATCTATGTTACTATAAGAAGAATATTAATGTTATATAAGAATAACTCAAGTTTTCATACTAGTAAAATGCGATGATTGACTATAACGTTTCATATTATAATTATCATAAATCTATATTAGGCCTACTATAAGACGTGATATTAATAGTTTGTAACAATAACTCAAGACAAACTGACGTTTACAGACTAATGAAATGCAATGACTGACTACGAAGATTCATATAATTACAATATATTTTTATATATATTATTTTATTCATTCTGGCAATACAAATAAATTAATATAAAACATTACAAATAAAGACAAATCAGCAATTCACAAACATATAGGCCTAAGAATAATTAATGGAGCCAGGGAGCTGCAAAAGCGAAATCAATGTCATAGAGAAGTGCTGCTCCCAGAAAAAAATGAAATGAATAAAAAAAAACCCCGAACAATTAATATTAATAATGTTGACAACGAATAAATAGCTAGCATACATTTACTGAAAGATTTGAAGGCTGTCAAGGAAATAATACCGGACCATCCGACGATAAAGAAACACCAGCTGTAGTAAAGTTTGAAATATTTTATACATGACTTTATGACGTTATACTCACTACTAGATCAGTTACTTTTGAATACCTGACCCACCAAAATAAACTCGTCTTTTATCTATCATAGAATCATAAAAACCGCATCCTGAAACAAACTAATAAACATCCCTGGTTTGCATGAGGAACTAACAATTATGATTTTTTACGTCAGTAAAATTCTGAGAATGAACTTCACATCATCTAATAAAGTAATAAGAAAAAAAACCCACGCAAACAAGACAGAAAGGGTTTGATTTTTAGAGTAATTAAGGTTTAAAAGTGAATATATCTTTCGAGTCTACCACTGATTGAGGTAATCTATTCCAGAGTAAAATAACGGACGGATAAAGATGATAATTTAAAGGACAGCGTGCGTCCAAATGGAATAACAAAAGAATTAAAATGGTAAGCGAGTTCATCGCCGTCTAAGATACCAGGAGGAATATTGAATTAATCTATATTGACCTATGTTTTTGATGGATGAATACACATTTACCTTACAATTAAGATTAGGCGATGCCTAATTGATTTTAATATTTCTAATGTATGTCTCTTGAAAATGAAGATCCCCTATCTCACCTAATAAAAAGTTCATAACCGCTTCTTTCAGACCAGGATACGATCAATTGATTGAATTAAAGATTAATATCTATGTTAAGCACCTTTCATTTACAACAGGTGTTTAATTGGTTATGTCGGTACCGGTAATAATTGAAAACAAATACCCATTCTTCCTCATTGTAGACCTATTAAATACTTTCATTTTATTACGTTTTTTTATGTAAGTACACATGTTTATAAAAACACTGCATGAGGCTGAAATTGCTTAAAATTATAGAACCAAATAAGAACAAATTGAGGCTGAGGTAAAATGTCAAATGAGGTTTTAATTTTTTTTTAAAGAAAACCAACACATTTTTGGGCTAAAAACATTTTTCTTTTGGCATTTTTACACGATATCTGATAGGCTTACTGTATGCTGTATTAAAATATACCGCATTGATCAATAATTTCACGATCTAACATGGTTTAAAAAGGTTAAATTTTTTGGTCATTCTTGTTCTAAATACATTATTTTTTGGTAATCTGGGCCTCGTTTTTATATACAGCAATGCCTAGACGCTCTCATCTACATAAAGCCTCTGATGATTGTCCAAATAATATGGATGCCCAAATTCCAACCTGGTCCTTAGGCTTCGTGCCAATTAGGGCCCCAGCGGGGTCGGGGAAGAACCCTTGGAGGTGGTTTGGGGGAAAGGCAATGAAAGCGATCCGGGCTTCGTGTCAATTAGGGCCCCAGTGGGGTCGGGGAAGAACCCTTGGAGGTGGTTTGGGGAAAAGGTCATGAAAGCTCCGAAAAATTAGCAATTAGTGAGGGATTTCTGTAATCCATCATTTAGTGAATTTTCTATTTAAATTTGCAATAATTTGGGTGTTTTTTGGGACCCGAAGAAGTAAAGTTTTATGTCCTTACATCGGTAGTTTTAATATGGATCAATCTGCAATCACTGGAGCTGATCAATTTCCAACAAATTTCGCCCCACGTTTGAAGACATCGGTTAGAATAGCTGGCAAATAAAATAACTATTACCGCATTTTAATGATTTGATCCAACGATTTTAAGAGCTTGTGGGTTGCAATCGGTAGTGATATCGATTTTGTTTACAATCAGTATTATTTGTGCAAATGTCTTGTCCTGTGCACATTACTTTTCCTTACTTTTAAAGGTGTTGGGGCGGATGCAGGGGGAGGGGTGCAGACGGTGTGATGGCACCCCCTAAATTGTATAAGGAAAAATAATTGTATTGTACTGTTGCTATGAATTACCGGTAAGATTTTAAAGGTATGAGAGTGAAATTTTCGGGCACATAGAGGTCCATATTCTATATGTTCTCAGCCCCAACCAAGGTGGGGCTGAGGTACTATGGACTTTCACGCACCCCATACCGCCAAATCCTGCACCCGCCTCAGGGGTGTGATACCATGACAACATTATTTATTGGGAAAAGAAAAGAGTACGGTACTTGTCAAGCATAAAAAGCCTACCTCCCCCATCCCCATCATTCAGATGACCATTCCTTTCCATAAGCAAACATGCATTTAAGCAAGTGGACTACTCTCCTGACTTCCCACATGTTGGCGGAGTGATTCACTATTCTTCCAGGACCGGTACGTACCTCACATTATCAATAATTTCATGAGGACAAATGAGAGCTGTTCTCTCAGAATAATAACAACCTTGCGAATTCACCCACCCAAGTCAATTTACATGTGTTGACCAACCATTTAACAAATTTAATTACAATTATTTAGCTATTGAAGAGATTTATAAGTATCAATTTTCTTTAGTTCCTCAACTCAAACTATATAAAATCAACATACAATACATCAGAGACATCTCCCCCACCACTGGGCCTCCTGACCCTCAAAGTACACAAATATTTCATTACTCAAACAAAAAATGAATAGGCTGTGGTGGTGAACCTTTCCTGTCATTCGACAGTATTTCTCCCCCTCCTGTTTACTGCTACACCCCATATTCTTAATTAATGTGTTTAAAGGGCCAACATTGTTTTTTTGAGTTGGACTCACTGGCCTACCGGTAACTTTAATTACCGGTAGGCCTACTCAGATATTATCTTGTTAAAATGTTTTCCGTAATTTCAAATTCTACTGATCGTTGTTGTGCTAAACAATATTATATGGTAAAGAATTCAGTAAGTTTAAGCAAAGAATACATCAATGTTCTGTTCACACCCTAGTTCGTTAAAACAATATTAAGACATTGCATTCGGTGTATAATAAACGGTAGTAATATGAACATTAAACATATAGATAAACAAATTAAATAACATTAATTAAATGAAATATATTTAATGATATAGGCATGTTATGCTACCAACAACCGTAATAGATAACTTGAAATAAAAGTAGGCGTAATAATCGTAGAAGAGAATCACCAATGGGCACTGACCTCAAAAGTACTGTAGAAGTACAGAAATAATATTGCCGCTACATGTTGGAGTTTTTATTTGTTGATGAGACAAACATATAGAACGACTAGGAAATAGGTGTGATATCGAAATTCCAAGAGAGCAAATGTTATATAAAGAATGTAAAAATTTTATATTTTATTTTAAAATCACAAATTTATATTCAATACATTGTCGACTGTCATCGAAATTTTGACCTTACCCAATTTGGTTTTTGAGTGAGTAAAGCACCCATAGCACCTCCCCACCCATTGGATATACGGGCCTGGGCAAAAAGAGTATGTTTTGTACTCTCGTGGAAATGATGGAAATAATGGATGACCCCGAATAGAATAGATATTGTGTTTATTTTTACTTAATAATCTTGTATATATAATCATTTATTAATGTACTCTATGGTTTTTTACTATTGGATTTTTTACTTTGTAAAAAAATTGCAGTGGAAATTAGTTTCTGAATTTTCGGACAATAAATTTATCTTTTACCTATTATATTATATGCAGTATCGTCGTATCGATCCAATTGATATTATTTGTTTTATCATTATTTAGAAATATAGCGCCCTCAAATACAACTTGACTTTTTTTTTTATCATGCCACATCCTCCCTTCCATTTCCATCCAGTGTGGTTGTTTACAAATTACATTTAAAGGGTTTGACTTAAAACCAAATTTCAGGATCAGGACAAGGGGTAACTGAATTAGACGTTTAACCTATTAAGTGTAAATAGCTTAAGAAGTTAAGCATACGTTTAGATGTGTATGTGGAACTTAAATAATAGAACAAACCGCGGTTAAGCCTAGGCCTAGCTTTGCCTTTCTTTTGACTTTAGCCTACGCTATGATAGCCTACGCTATGATATCACCCAGAATAGGGCCAAGCGGGTTCTCTCTGTTCGAAGCTAGTTTGTCAGTCATGCCTAAAAAGAGCAAATAACAGAAGTATGGTTTGCCCAGTGAGTGGTTCGCCCAAGGGGGTGCTATTGATGACCGAGACCTTAACCCTATGTAGCAAATAGAGGCTGAAGGCATACATGCCAACATTTTGATAGAAGAAAAAACGGGAGAATTTGGCATTCCATTGGCCTGTTACGTGTTGGGGGTAGGCCTATTACTAAGCCTTTGGTGGGGGTGGGGGGATTCGGGAGGGGAATCCCATTGCATGGATTCCAGGGAGTGTGACCCCCTTGTGGAGGCTTAAGCTATTTAATGTATTATAAGTGTAATTCTCATTATTATATGATGTGTATTCCAAACGCCGTGGCTAGAGATACGGTACCGTATTTCTACTTCGTTTTTCTAAAGGTACGGTAAATATCATTGCGTCACCATCAACCATTGAAGTGCTAAAATGTGCGTGACGTCATTTTTTGAAGACTGGCGTGGCTTTCATATCACCCGCAATGAGCGTTGGAAGGAGAACAATGTACTGGGAAATTAGAACATCAAAAGTACAATATTGTTTGACTTTACTGTCATCGTTTAATAGGTGTATGGTTCCACTTTATAGTAAAGAGTTTCATTTAGCTAGGCCTATATATAACCATTATCAAACAAGGACTGATTTCTGTACCAAACTCTTGGCATTCCTCTAGAGAATCCGCCTCTAGGCCTTGCTTTTAAATTCTTCGCTGGTGAAGAATCTAAGCAAGCATGCAGGCCTAGGCCTTGCTTGGATTCTTTATTTGGCGGCGGCCCTGCTCTAGTGACATAGGTGTGGGTGGCATATATCAGTCATAAACACGGTCTTACCAAGTCTGAAGTTCTCAATCCCCACATCCCAAGTTTTAGTCCAAGATACCTAGATTATCTTATCCGACCAAAATATTCATACACTTTGAATGCACAAACTTTAAATAGACTTCGTCACTCATGGTACAGAATCTAGGTCAAGAATGAGTTTCTCCTTCGTGATTAAGGCCTATTAATTAGTGTCAAATTTTTCGAATCTACTTTTGATGCAAGGCCATTTAATGCAGTACTACGGTATATAATATGCTAGGCCTGTATGAATTTTCTTGTTGTAGGCCTATATTCAATTTTTTTTATTGCAAGTGTTGTCATATAAATATTACCAAAGACTAGCAGTAGTGTGTATATATGTGGCTTGGCCTAAGTCCTGAGGATGATGCCTTGCTTGATGGCTATATAAATGAAATGACTCTTATTGAGTGGAACCCAATTACGCCTATTTTTCGATGACAGTATTATAAGAATATACTGTACTCTCTTTGCCTAGCTAATCATCAGGTACATTTTTTCGCTAGTCACACACTGTTTACCTCACAAGCACTAAAAACTGAATATACACAAGAAGATTCATAAGGCCTCCTCGCATTTTATATACTGTAGTTCTGTTTTAAGGTCTGCATTTTTGAAAAATTTGACACAATAGGAATAATCACGAAGGGGAAACTCATTCTCTTGATCTAGGCCTAGATTCTGTACCATAACAGTGACGAAGTCTAGCCCTACGAAAAGTTTTGTGCATTCAAATTGTATGAATATTTTGTTCGGATTGTAAAGCGTGGTATTATTTCGAGTATATTAGGATTCTTGGACTAACACTTTGTATGTAGGGATTATGAAGTTCAGACGGTATGATCATGCAGGAACCAGGCTAAGTTTATGACTGATACATGTCACCCACATCAATGTCACCAGAGCAGCTGCCGCGAAAAGCAGAATTCAAGTAAGCCAAGCAAACTGAATTTAAGCAAGGCCTAGAGGCATGCCAAGAGTTTGGTGGAATCAATCATTGTTTGATAATGGTTATACATAGGCCTAGCTAAATGGAACCATGCGCCTATTTATCGATGACTAGATACTAAAGTCAAACAATACTCTACTTCTTCATGTCCTAATTCCCCAGTACTGTACATCGTTCTTGTTTCACCGGTCATAGCGGGTGATCTGCAATGCCAGTCTTGAAAAATGATGTCACGCACATTCTGGCACTTCATTGGGTGATGGTGACGTAATGCTATTTACCGTACCTTTAGCAAATTGAAAGTAGAAATACTGTACCGTATCATTAGCCACGGTGTATTCCAAAATTAATGGAAGTATTGATTTTAACTTGTGTGTTTGATTGAATAAGATACAGAATCTGGATTGAAATACTTGTTGTAAAATGTGTTTTCAATGGCCTTAAATTAATACAGATAATTACTGGGCTGGTAGTTCAGCAACTGTAACTTCATGTCCAATTATTCATTGTAAGGTCTAGTCCAGCTCCGTCACACTATTCTTTTTATACACATAAGTATTCTAGTCATAATTTTTATTCACCTTCGTAAAAACGATTCAGACAGACCATGGCCTCGCTAAGAGACTTTATTGTCTTGTCTTGCCGCACCACCCACGGAGAGCAAAATATTGAATGATAACATATATTGAGGTTTTTTGGAAAGAGCAGAGTTTGTTAATGGGCCGAGTTGCAAAAAAAAAAAAAATAAAAGGCTAACAATACAGTGGGTTTGTATGTCTTCCCAACCTCATTGATTAAACCTTTACTTGATATAATAAATGTCTTTTCTTTTGTGTATTGAATGGAAATAGGTTACCTCTGGTTACCATGGAGGCCAAGCCAGAAGATGACGTAGCCAAAGCATCACCTGCTAAACCTGGAAAGGTATTAGTACTGATTTTATTCATAATATAATAATAATTTCGTGGATTTATATAGCGCATATTGTAGAGACCTGTAGCATTCGACTTCTAGCATTTTTTGTGTGTAGCAAAAAGTGCTATGCATTTTTGTTTTGTGCAGAAATTCCAAAATTGTGCATAGCGTTCTCACTGAGACACCATTTTTGCTAGAAATGTAACTGTGCTCAATTATTTGGTAAACCACTTTGAAACATACCCCATAATATTCCCCTACTTTAAATTTCCCATCAATTAAATATTATACCCACCCCATGCAGAAGTTGACCTGGCCGTGATTACCAATTTACCGACCATGTGACAACTGACAAGCACTGGCTGTTGCTCGTCTCACTCCCACTATCATACTGTCCCGTATTGCATACTACACATCTACATGACGTGCATGATGTACCGTGAGTACAGTACATACATGACATTAAGCAACATTACTCCTCACTGTACAAACAGGTGTGTAAGCGAAAGCAATCTAATGAAGAAGCAGAACGGTGTCGAAATATGAGGTAATTTTGTAAACGCAGGAAAGAAGCCCGACTCGTACTCAAAACAGCTGCATTAACAACGATGTACATGTAGCATTGTATGTGTGCACTTGACGTAAACAAGCATATTGCGCTATTTTTGGCCTAAAACATAGGGTAACAACCTGACTTTGACTGTTTTTAAAACAATTTTCGGGATTTTCTTGTGCACCTAAGCCTCTTAGTTTTTACAACCATGCCTTGTAAATCCAGGCAAATAAATTGTGTCACCTTTTATTGTTGAAGTGCTTCGCAATTAGTTTAAAACGCATCACATTTTGCGATGCAATTCTGGGTCAATCGAACGCTGCCTCTCACTTAACATTATTAACCCCAGTCATTGGATCAAGCACATATGTTGCAGCTGTAATCAGCGCATTTTGTGTTTGACCCTATCAGGTACCCACTTGTACTCCTGGGTAGAGAGAGACAACCGTAGGTAAAGTGCCCTGCCTAAGGACACAAATGAAATACACAGCAAGGGATTGAACCTCCGACCTCAAGGTTGAGCAGAAGAACTGCAACTGCTGCGCCAAACCGCTCCTAGTTAGCTTTTATGCTAGTTTTATGTTAGTATCTCAATGGTTGGTGACTTTATAATTTATATGACTATTGTATACACAGCAGATGTAGCCTGAGATTTAGTGGGGAAATAGCACCCTATGAAAAATATCTTCATCCCTTGAGCCACAGAAATTGCACTCCAGTAATAGAATCTAATGTGAGTGAGACCAATAAAAGCTCTCACACAATCTACCCATTTCACATTATGTTCAATTGATTTGTGTAATTTACAATTTTTACATGATGACAAATGAAAGCAGCATAGCTCAGTCGGCTAATCTGGTGGTAGCCACTATGTGTTCGCTGAACCATGGAGACCTCTAGGTCCCCTGTTCAATTCTCATCGCTGCCTCTCCTTGTGTTTTAGCTGGAGGGCTGAAATACAAGTTACAATAGCCACCGTCTTTCAGATGAGACTATTAAGCCGTTGGTCCCGTGTGCATGTACAGTACAGCCCATGTGCACGTTAAAGAACGCAGTACACGCTTCAGAAAAAGAGTAGGGGATTGTCTCCCGGTGTACTGCTCAATCACCACCAGAAGGACCCCACTGGAAGTAAGATGTCTTATAGACTTTCGTGGGCTATCCTCGATATTTATCACCGATTAAATTCAATCCACCGCTTCCTTGTTAATTTGTATGTAAGATCAGGTTTGATAAGATTAATATTAATGTGTACAGTGTGTTGATAGTCTTGAATGCTGCAAAAAAAACCATTGCATTTGTAACAATTGATACAAAATGCACGGAAGCACTTTTCCGACCATATTTGAAAACACAGTTGGGAAAAGAGTGTAGTGAAACATTGCATTAGCAAAGAATGCTATGTTCCTTTCCCCTTTTGATGATAATTGTTTAAAAATAGACTTGACTGAAATTCTATTTATTCCCCATCAAGCTGGATAACCTTTCTAAGGAAGACCTTATCAAGTTTGCCAAAAAGCAAGTGATGATGCTACAGAAAGTGAAAGCAAAATGTGGAGGTATGTGATTATTACATACATGAACATTTTTGAATTGCATGAATAAAAGTGTCTCTGGTGGGATTTGAACCTGCAGCCTCCCGCCTGACACTCTTGCAAGGCGAGGGTCATACCATCGTTTAGCGCTAACCATTACCAGGAAGTGGATACGCAAACGGTTATCAAGCGCTATCGGTTAGCAAGTTGACCTCATTTCCATCATTAACCAATCAGATGTACGCATTTCCTATTATTGGCCAATGATCCCACCGACATCTTCTTTATGTCTGGATCTGGGATTTTCTTGTATGAACACAACCATGAGCACATACATAATTAACCTGGATTCATTAGCTGGTGTTTGTGCCTGAGAGTGTGTGCTAATTCGAGCACTGTTATTTATTTATGTTTTTAAGGGGAAATTTTGCTGGGGGGAATTTGTTCGCCTTAAATTAGAGGGGTCTATAATTGGAGGGAGGCCTGTATTATTATTATTAATGATCAATGAGTAGGTAGTAAATTTGCCAAATGGATGTTATCAAACAAACAGAATTCATTAAAGGTGTAGTTTTCCTTTAATTATATTAATACATTTATTTTGAAGAATTAACCAAAAAGTGTGAAGAATTGGAGCAGCAGAAAGGAGGACAAACAGATGCAGATAGCAAGTGTTTTACTGAGTTGCAGGCAGAATTGAAAGAGCTGCAGACTACACATGCAGAGCTTGTGGGTGTTTACAATGCAGTACAAGAACAACAGGCAATGGCAGCTAATAAACATCAGGTAAGAAACCATGCCATCAAACAATTCTTCATGAAATCAATTTCGAAATAAAACAAATTTCATTGGTGGGGGTGGGGGAGGGAATGCAGGCTTGAGGGAAAACATGTTTGCGCCGGTCGCATGGTCATGCTCTTTTTCCAGCCTGGGGATCGGTGATAGTAATTCATCAAAATTGCCGTCAGGCTCTGGAATTTTTCATTTATCCCTGGGATTGGAAGGCATCTGAACCACCATGCTCCAGCTCTAGTATATATTGTTGGTTTAAGATGCTTGCCCTACAATCCCAGAGTTTTTGGTTTACATCCCATCTAAACCAGGATTTGTTTTTTTAATTATAATTTGTTTGGAATTCCAGTAAATAATTGTTTCTCTCTTGAGGACATTTGAGGGCAATAGCTAGATTCACTTTCAGAAATTAACGTGATCTAGTGGAGCATGATCAAGCCAGTCACTTTATGTAAACCAACCTGAATAACGTGCTCAGCTTGATCACCTTACTGTGATCTAGTGGAGCATGTTGATTCATCATGATTAACGTGATAAATTAATTCAGGGGATCAAATTCAACCAATCAGCCTTTGTTTATTAAACAGGTCCCAACCTCATTGGTTGTGTTTCTGGTTGGTCCCAAGCTCATTGGTTGTGCTTCTGGTAGTTTTCACGCAACACTGCACACATTAGCATAAGTGTAGATCATGATGATGGTTTCTATATGAACGGTTTTCTCTAACATGTTAAAGTTATCATGATGAATAGATCATAAGTTTATCACAATAACTTATGTGAATATGCCTTGTCAGATTAAGTTGTTGCTAATTCTCAAAAAAAAAATTGAGAAGTTATATAAGAAGAGTTAAGCCTAGGGTCGTCTATCTGCAATGAATGAATTGCAAGGTCAATGATTCCCATTTATTTTGTGTATCATTTTTATAATTAATAATTAATAATTAATTCGGGATTTATATAGAGCCTCACGTTGACACAACCTCGAAGCGCTTGAACATTATTACCCCCGGATCACTGGATCAAGCACATATGGAACACACACTCAAGCCAAATGGGGGAATTCCATAATGTTGCAGCTGTATTCAGCGCAGGCTGTGTTTGAACCTACCAGGTACCCACTTGTACTCCTGGGTGGAGAGAGACAACCGTAGATAAAGTGCCTTGCCCAAGGACACAAGCGACTTGCACAGCAAGAGTTTCGAACCCCCGACCTCAAGGTTTGGAGTCCAAACCACAACCGATGCCCCAACCACTTCTACGTTTTCAAACATAAGCCCTGTCCGTATAACAGATGTTGGTAATATAAACATTAAAAAAAATTATATAATATACATAATTTATATAATGGTAGGTTAATATAATGTTAATAATTATTAAACAAGTTAAGTAATATTAATTAGATGAAATATATTTAATATACCAACAGCCATAACAGAGAATATAAAATAAATGTAGGCATAATAATCGAAAAACCGGTTTTCCACTAGGTGAATCGAAAGCGTTGGTTCATGCGTATGGGCATTCACATTTCTGTCTGAGTTTTTGCAAAGCGAAATAATGCGCAACCAATCAGAACTCAGGAAGCAAACCGATGCTTTGATTTGTGCAAATAAATTTGCCTAGTGGAAAACAGGCTTAAAAAAGAAACTGAGTGCAAATGTACTTTAGAAGAGCAGGTGTGATACTATAATAATGAAATCACCACATCCTTCTGTTTTTCCTTACCAGAAGTAATATTGCCGTTGCTTTCCGGAGTATAAGTTGAAGCAGGCAGAGGGCACTAAACTCCAGCGACCAGGTTAATTCTGGTGTTTACAAATTTCATTTCTACCATGTTGTTAAACTGAAGATAAAGGAGTATCTTATCGTATCGTATAGTATGTAAAGACTAGGAAATAGGTGTGATATCCAATGACCAAAATAGAATTAAAGTCAGGCTCCGGAGGAAAAAAAAAATTTGATATGTTGTAGAACTGATTTTTCTAAGACAGAAAAAAGTTGTTTGACGAAAAACTTTATCAGGCAGAACATAACATTTGTTTTATTTTTGCTTTTTTTGTCTTCTCTATATAAATTAACCATTGTCTAGTCATTGCAAGGTTATATCATAAAGATGCACTGATGATACAAAAGTGCTATCCAATCAATTAATTGATTGACTCTTGATGCATTTGCAATACTGATGAAGCTTGAGACACACATAAAAAAAACCGTTATGCAAAATGTTTGCATCCGGGGGAAAAAGGGGCGTAACTGCCTATTTTTACACCTTATTCCCCCAGTTTTTAAATATTCAAAAATCTGTATCTCATTCACCGTTCCCCATTTTTTCGTCAAACAACTTTTTTTTTGTCTTAGAAAAATCAGTTCTACAACATATCAAAAAATTTTTTTCCTCCGGAGCCTGACTTTAAGTTATAAAGAGATTTCTTGTTTCCTTTCCTCTATTTCTTATGTAAACCCGGATGCAAACATTTTGCATAACGGTTTTTTTTTATGTGTGTCTCAAGCTTCATCAGTATTGCAAATGCATCAAGAGTCAATCAATTAATTGATTGGATAGCACTTTTGTATCATCAGTGCATCTTTATGATATAACCTTGCAACGACTAGACAATGGTTAATTTATATAGAGAAGACAAAAAAAGCAAAAATAAAACAAATGTTATGTTCTGCCTGATAAAGTATAGTTAAATCCTTTGCCAAGCGACTAGGGCTCATTGAGCAGGAGCTTTTCCCCAGTTTCTGTAGCGTGAAGCGGATGAGAGAATACTCCCCCTGGGTGGGACACTGGTCCGCCGCAGGTCACTCCCAGCAATTTGCTGGTACCCATTGATACAGCTGGATAAACTGATGTCGTGTTAATAAAGTGCTTTGCTCAAGGACACAAGTGAAATGCACAGCAAAGGATTGAAACCCCGACTTTGGGGTTGGGAAACCAAACCATTCCCGCTGCGCCAAACCATTTCCTCTTATAGATTATAGTGAACATAAACTGAAAATTAAAAACATCATTGGGAAAGCTAGGAGGATATAATTATATATCTGAAAAATACTGGGGGAAAAAATAGCTGAGAGGAAAAAAATACCCTACTCAAAGACAAGCATGTGTACAAACCTAAGATGCAAATTTTATTATGCGCATAATTTATACAAAGGTAAAAAGTGTACATCAAAGTTTTAAAACTCCGACCTTGAGGTTGAGAAACCGAACCATTCCCACTGCACCAATCCTCATCCTCTTATAAATTATAATGAATGAAAAACATCAGTGTGAAAATTAGGAGGAAATATACACCGGAAAAAATACCCGGGGGAAAATAGCTGGGGAAAAACAGCCGAGAGGAATAAAATCCCCTACTCAAAGGTGAGCATGCGTACACACCTAACATGTAAATTTTCATCTTCTATGGAATAGGAGCCATGTTCACAGGCGTGATTGATCCTTAATGTTGTTAGTGGATATGGCCTAGGGGATGCGTTTTGTTTTTGTTTTTGTTTTTTTTCACGTTCCAGAACAATATTACATTTACAGAAAATCAACAATAAAAAGTCCTTGTTAACATTTTTGATAACAAGGACAAAAAATGGTTCTCTCAAAATACAGAAAATTCTCTTTGGATAAAGTTTATAATAATACTGTACAAAAACCATTTAAATAATTATTTAAATTTAATTATAGAAACATTTGAAAATTCATGACCAAATACACGTATTTGGTCATGAATTTAATGTATTAAAAATAATAAGCTTCTGTCCTTTTGACTTTAATATTTTTTTCAATAGAGAGTCGCGTTTTTGTTTTCGCTCATAATGGGAAACTTTTCTATCAAATTATTTACTTAAATTTTTTTATTATTTGTTTTTAATTTTAATTTTTCACACAGGCCAAATTTAATAGCTCCACAGGCCAAATTTGGCCCACAAGCTGCCTATTATATTATTTTTATTAGTTTAGAATTACAGTATATTATTATAATTAATATTATTAATACTGTATTGTTATTAATATTATTATTATTATTGTTATTATTATTATTATTATTGTTATTATTATTGTTATTATTATTGTTATTATTATTATTATTGTTATTTTGTTTAGGCTCTAGAGGATGCTTTGAATGAAGCAGTAACAGATAAATCAAAACTTGAAGTGAATTTGAAAGAAGAGAAGGAGAAATACAATACATTATTCAAGAAAAACAAGGTAATTATTTAAATATTATAATACAAAGAAATATGTTTAATTACACAGTTGTCCTATGATGATATAATTTGACAATGTAAATTAGGAATTATTTTGCATATTTAATGTAATTTTGCAATCAATAATATTTTGTAATTGTTCTATGTCATGGAGGAAACACAGTTGAAATAAGCTACCTCTAGGTAATGTTCCATGTTGTCATCTAATGTATAGTTTGTGTGAAATGTAATATAGTTAGATTTATATAGCGCTTTATGCCAAAACGGTCTCAAAGCACTCGAGGGTGTGGACTGACTCTTGCAATATCGTGCTTCTCCCATGAGGGTCTCTTTGTGTCAGAGCTACCCAGTACAAGAGTAACCCCCTACTTGTCTCAAAAGATGTACTGGGTTCTTTAAAGTGCACATGAGCCAAATTGTGTACACGGGACTTACGGTTAATAGTCCTTATCCGAAAAGACTTGTTCCACCACCAGAACCATAGGCGAGCGTGTCGTTTGAACCAGTGCCGACATTATGGCTGTATGTTGCGGTGCCTCTGCATTAACCGCTCTACCATACAACTTACATGTATTAGGGGGTAGGCTTGGTGTATTTATAGATGAATGGATGTACGTAGGCAGAAGCATAGACATATAGTCTATCAAAAGAGCTTCCTGTACCTTGTTTGATGATTAAGTAATTAAAATTGATAATGTATTTATTCTGTATTGTTTTCTTGAAAATAGGAATTATCTGAGAGGTTGGAATGCATGGAAATGAAGCAGGAGACAATGACCTCAACATTCCAGTGTCTTCAAGAGGAAGCCCAAGTATTTTCCAAACAGAATCAGGTAAGTTACCTCAAATCAAGCCGCATCAGCTAGGCTGCCAGTTGTTAATTATAGTTCTCTGCCCCTCCTTTGGGAATCAAAGTAAATAGTTGTTATATGATATTATGTCCATATATGGGTATATCATGTCCTATATACTGTATAATCCCCATCTAGACCACCTTGCTGTGTTTTTTAAAAATATTTCTGTTTTTAAAAGTAACCCTGATATGCAATATGAACTTAAAATTTGCATTTTGTAGTAATTATATAAAATGTCCACTAGAATTTGAAGACCATCACTGATTAATCATATTACTAACTGAAGTCCTACAAATTCAAATTGGTATTATGCCCCAGTATTTTTTTGTCAAGGTATTGAATAGTATGCAATTAATTATTGTCATATGAAACTAAATTTGATTGTACTGTTATATTTTTATCTTTATCGACAGGAACTTCAAGAGCAGATCAAGGTTTTAACAGAGGCAAGAGATCAGACATTGATATCACTTAAAGAACTACAACAACAAAAAGCCTCATCATCTTCGAATTCCAAGGAACTCAAAAATCTCATATCTGAATTAAATGCAGAGAATGATGATTTGAAATCAGAAGTAGACACATTGAAAGAAAAATCAAAGACAGAGCTACAACAGCTTGATGAATTAAGAAAACACCTGAAGGTCATAATAGAAGAGAGTGGGAATTTGAAAGATTCTTTGAAAACATCTAATGATGAACAAAAACATTTGGAAGAAAAAAATGCAGAAATGTCAGGAGAGATTACACAACTGAAGGAATATGGAGAGTCAATGAAAGAAGAGCGGGATAATGTACAACATTTTATGCAGCAACGAGAGAAACAGCTTGAAGATCTTACAAATTCAAAGACAGAGTTATCTGAGAAGCTAGATAAGATTACTTCAGAGATTAGTTGTATCAAAGAAAATTGGAAAAGAGAAGAAGAATTGAGAATTGAAAGTGACAGAAAAATCAAGCACCTAGAGGAATGTGTTACTTCTTTAAATATGGAAAAACAAGAGCTTCAAAGTGAATGTGATCGGCTAAGATCAGAAAAAACAGTCACCATTAAAGAAGAAAAAGAATTTGAATTGAACATGGAAGTAATAGAAAAGAAGAACCAAGAGCTTGAGGAAATTTTAGAAACTTTGAAGCAAGATAATGGTGTAATATCTAAAGAATATAGTGAACTAAAGTGCCAGTTTGATGAATTGTTATCTGAAAAAGAACAGTTTTCAGAAAAGCAAAATAAATTAGAAGTAGAACTGGAAACATTTAAAAATGGAGAACAAAACCAAGAATTCGAAATGAAGGAAGAAATTGTAACATTAAAAAGAAATCTTGATGAAGTACAAAAAGACTTACAAACTAAAGAAACTCAACTTTCAGAATTTAGCAATAAATTAAAAGAGTCTTTGAATGACAATTTAAAGGCAGAGGAAACTATGTCAAAGATTATTTCAGAGAAAGAAAAACTAGAAGTAGAATTGTCAAAAATATGTAACTCTAAAGATGCTGCAGATGGAGAATTTCAGAATGAAGTTACTGCTCTTAGAAGTGAGTTAGAAGACAAGACAGATGAAATACAGCGCCAGAGAGAAGAACTTGAAAAGCTTCAGGCTGAACTCAATAGATTTGCTACCAATTTGAAAGCTGCAGAAGAATCAAGAGCCATCATACAGAGCAATTGTGATGAATTAAAGGTGGGGCATGATAAAGTAGTTGAGGAGTTAAAAGTTAAACAATCTGATTGTAATTCTTTGCAGGAACAGGTTTCACTTGTAGATGCTTTAAAAAAGGAAAAGGATGAACTGGCTGAGAGCTTTTCCAATAGTCAGGAGCATGTGCAGAGGCTTGTAGAGCAGTTGAAAATCATCAAAAATGCCCATATGGATGGCATGCAGAAGAGCTTTGCTAACGTGGAAGAAATAAAGACATTAAAGTCACAAAGAGATGGGTTTAAAAAAGATTTGGAATGTTTAAAACAACAGGTAGATGAAATCCAAAATGGGAAACATGAACTAGAGAAGGAATTAAAAGTGGCACTTGCTGAAAAAGAAAACTTTGAAGACAATATGGAAAAACAACTGCATGGTAACAGTGAGTTGGTATTAGAAATTCAAAATGTTAAATCTGAGAGAGATGAGGTTAAATCACAATTAGAAAAGAAGAGTGTTGAAATTAATGATTTGACTCAGAAATTACAAGCAGCTTCAGAAGAGTTGGAAAATGAAAAGATTCTTTTAACAGACCTACAGAAAGAAGTTGATAAATACAGCAGTGAAGTTGTTGAAATGAAGACTATTAGTGAGAAGAAGGACCACAAACTATCTGACATGCATGAAGCATTAACTCTTTTAAAAGAATTAAATGCTGACTTGCAAGCGAACCTTCAAAGTCTAACGGAGGAACTTGTAAATGTTAAAAGCACGTTCAAAGAATCAGTTTCTCAAAGAGAGAGCGAGACCAAAAAGTTAAGTTCGGATTGTAGTAAAGTAAGTGCAGAGAATAACATTTTGAATAAAAAGGTGTCTGAATTTAAAAATGAGAATGAATCGCTACATTCAAAGGTTCAGGAACTAAGTTCTAATATTACTTCTGTAGCAGCTGAAAAAGAAAAGCTGCAATCTGACTTAGTAGAATTAAGTAATAAGTATGACAAAGTTTTGAAACAAAATGAAGCTATCGGTTGTTCTTCAGAAGAGGTCAAGACTGAACGGAGTGAGCTTGTTGGTAAAGTTGACAGTCTGCAAGGTGAGAAGAATAAACTTGCTTCAAATCTGGAGAGGTTGAAGAAGGAAGCTCAGGGAAAGATTAACAAATGGAAAACAAAAGTGGACGACATCACAAAAGAGAAACAAGAAATTGAGGCACAAGTTGAAGAGTTAATTTCTGATAGAAATAACCTACGCACACAATTGGAAAAAGTGGAAGTTATTCAGAAGAAAAAGGATGAAGACATCAGTGAATTGCAGAAGTCTTTCAAGAATGTGGAAGATAGTCTTAAAGAAAATTTGGAAAAGCTAAATACCATGTCATCTAATCACCAGTCTCTTGAAACCTCCAATATGGAGGCCATGAATGCTCTAAAAAACTTGCAGCTTGAGAAGGATCAGTTGTACCAGGACCTACAAGAAGCTTTGGCAGACCAGGAGCACTCAGTGAATCAAGAACAGTGCCTCAGAAAAAACTTACATGAAGCAAAATCTAAAGTGGAACACACTGAAATAAGATTCAAAGAAGCAAGTGACAAGATCACAGAGCTGTCAGAGATGATTGAAAGACATTCTAAAGAGAAAGATGAACTGAATATGGAAGTGCAGAAACTGAAAAGTGACTTGAAGATGGCTTCAGAGGTAGGCAGAAGCCTTCAAAGAGTTAGGATGTCAGTCATTAAATGGTCTTATCTCATCTCTCATTTGCGTATCTTTCATTTCATCCCCTTCTGTGAGCATCAGTTGTTGTCATCTTTATCGGTGCAAATTGATGATATTAAGTTCATTATTTTTGGTACCTACTTGTTGTCTGTATTAGAACCATAACTATTTGTTTATTCAGAGTGCACTCTAATAATAACATATTCAAAATGCATTAAGAATTTGCCATTTTATTTCTACTAGCTTCCACAGTTTCTATTATTTGGCATTTCCCTCAAAAAGTATGCATTCCATGTTCATGAATTGTCTTTATTACCATTTGCTCTGTGCCAGCTTTAATTTTAATCCCATTTTTTGGGAACATAAACATAGTTGATTGTTTTTTTTTATTCAGCATGCAAAAACATTTGAGTTTTAATGATTATTTATATAAATTATTGTTATAAAACACCTAAAAATATATCATTTGGTCTAATACATTATTTGAATATTCTCATGTTAACCTTATTAATATAATTATTTTTATTGAA